AAAATGAACATAATTCCCGATATAATCTTTGACTGCAGGAACTGGATGTTTATGAGTTTGTAGGCTGGTTGTGATGCGTATCAGGGTTCCAAAAACCCAAATTTCATAGTGATAATTTTGTTTACATGTTTGTTTACGTTGTGGTTGCCCGAATTTGAAGTCAAAGTGAAGTCATACAATGAGGTATCGCTTTGCATGACGGTAAATTTTGAAGGTATTGTAATCTGTCTGACTTCCTGACTCCCTCCGCCCGCGTGTGAACGGTTTGTTTTCCCGCACTGCGGTTCGAGACAAAAGAACGTTAGTCGTTTCCAGACCGGGGATAGAGGGACTGTGCTAGAACCAATCAATTGAATTTTTTAGACGAGCCTGACCCGGTAGCCATGGTAATGCGAATCTTTAGATATCTGTATCTATTGCCAGATTGGATCGGATTATTGGATTGGATTACTTTGTAGCTGTGGTTGGGGCTTGCAAAGTACCGTACTGTTCTGATTGTGTTGCAGATATTTAGTAGGGACAGTTTCAGTCAGAAACACATTTTACACATTTAGTTGCTTTAATACAGATACTTTGTCCGTATTAGTAAAAGGCTGTGTCAAACGACTCCGTTTACTAACCCCGTTGAACACAGTAATAATCAGAACGAGGTTGTTTATTTAAAGTATACAACTTGAATTGAACAGTTCCATGTTTCTAATTACTCTATTGACTGAACCGAGTAGGTGATATTTGATGGCATTCAAGGAGTGGTATAATACATACACGTATAACGTGTGATGTGCCCATCAGGTCACCTTTGTCACTCAGCTTATCGGCCCATTGTTCACATACACTATACATTGACCACAATCACTAAAGGATATGTAAAGAACTTCACCAGAAATCGGACCAAAGTACGATTACTAAACGTATTTTGTAATATTGGATTTTGTATAGAAGGTTGGTTCTTGAAATAAGGAAGCGATGCGAGTCGGCAGTACGTTAGATGACAACAGGTTTATTACACTCTACATACATATGACATTGACATTGACACGATACAGCAAACTTGGAACATGGAACTGCCCGGGATATGTCCCGGTGGCCGGGTAAAGGAAACGATAGCTGATTAGGCAAAATTAACTATAGCGGATTGGCTGACTGGTATGCTGTCAGAATGGGCCATTCCAGTTTATATCTGCACCCCCCTGTTGATGAGTTTGTGTGTTTACTTCATACAGGGTATAATTTCCATGGGTGTATAAGTCATACAAAGTTTTATTTCCAAATCATCATTCACCATACAGTAATGGAAATCCAAAACTATAGGTCCTACTTATGGTGTTGATGAGTTCCTTTGTGACACCATACAGAGTAGGATTTCCAAATATAACTCCTATCATATGCTAATTTACCAAGTTCAACATTTTATATCTGATAATGGAAATCCAAACTAGCCCTGATTCATGGTGT